GGAATAAAATGAATATGCACCAATATGGTAATTTTCTTTCTTTCTTTAATAAGGATACTAAGAAACTTGTCCGCAATTACGAGAGGATCCTATTAAAAATAGACAAAACTTGTCTAAATTATTTAATGCTGCCAAAATATACGCAATATATATATATATTTGTGTGTGTGTGTGAGTGTGTGAGTGTGTGCGTGTGTGTGTAGTACATGTAATAAATCCGTTGGTATATAATAGATCCTAGTAATATCATATATTAACACTGATCCACAAAAAGAGCTCAATGTATTTATTATAACAGAGCATATAAATTACACAACAAAATCCAAAATTACCTCATATGGGGGGGGGCATAAATCTATTTCAACCGACGAGTAGTACGTCAGTCTTATTCAACCCAGGAAAAATGATTAACAGCAAATAAACTCCTTATAGTTCATTTAATGCCAAAATTTTATTCTCTTGTGAGATTTGGTAATTTTTTCCCCAATAATGTTTTGCTGGTAATTTTTTTCTAATGTCTTTTATATTTTGACCCCAGTTTGTGGGTTAACTATTTGCCCATATCTTGGACCCTAACAGGTGCTACCACCCCTGGTCACGGTGGACCTGGGAACAACAGCAATTAAGAGCTGGTTCCATGAACCTCAACATCTCCCGATCAGAGGCCTTGCTGCCGAACGCAGTTTATCGTCATACTCAGGACTGTCTTTAAAATGACACGTACCTGTCCACAGATTCCTTTCTTTATTATCTGAACCGCTATTCATACTTGGGGAAGATATTTAAGTGATTTACTGTAGCATTCTCCGCGGTTTGCAATTCAGAAATTTCCTTCTATGAAACTGATTGCTACCCAAGGCTAGAGTGCTTAATCTACCCTGCTATTTAATTTTTATCTCAAAGTTGGAAGGAGGAGAGATGGGTCGATGCCTTTGCTAAGGCCATCGGTGCGAAAGTGAACGCAACAGACTAGCTCGGAATTTGAACACGGACCGCCAATTCCGCTTTTCGTGTCGATATTCGTTACACTAAACGCACAAAAAGATTTTCTTTATACAGTTCTTGTAGACTGCTTACCACCAAAAGCAACGGAACCTAATCTAACCATTTATTTAACGCGTACCTTAAGAGAACTCGATCCACTGATTCTATTTTCTGTGTCAGCGTCTGTTGCGCTACCAGTGCACCCAATTTGTCAGGATTAGAATTTTAACCCACGCCACATTTGTTGACCAGGACAACCATAGTCTTGTAGTCTTGTTAAGGCATATCACAACCTTCAGTTGGGCGCCTTCGATATTCGGCTATCCTGACTGCCGACTGTGTGTAACCACGTAAATTTAATTAAGACAATTGTTCATGAAGTTGAATGTTTGAAAAAGCTGTTTTGTTGTGCCATGCAGCATAATTGGCAGCTTTTTGGATAGGACCAGGTCTTGGTAACCGAAAAAAAACAACATCATAGAAAGAGATATGGTGGAAAACCTGGCTTTTAACATTTGAATACCTAAAAAAAAAGAAGCTTTTAATCATTATTTACATTATTCAGACTATTGGCTTCATCTTTGTCGCCATATTTATTACGCTATATATTATATTTTGTACGCTCCGGTCTTCTTCAGGTGGTTGGAATATCGAACTGAACCCTTTATTTCGCTCACAGGGGTAGACTGTTTTAGTTCCACGTGCCATGTCTAATGGATGTCAGTTGTCAGTTATCTCCTGTTAATTCCCCTCTACAAGTTCTCCACTGCCTTAACCAGGTATTGAACTCACACTCTTTTGGGTCCTGTCACTGGATCTAACTAACGCCTTTATCCACTGTGCCATGTGTCCCCCAGTGAGCGAAATAAAGGGTTCAGTTCGACATTCCAACCACTTGAAGAAGGCCTGAGCGTACAACGGCCGAAACATTGTAATAAATATGGCGACAGAGATGAGGACAATAGTCCGAATAATGTAAATAATGTACCTCATGTCAGAAATATAGACAAGATTTTAATCATCATCAAGCTGAACCTGAATTCTCACCAGCCACAATAAATGGTTACAATCTCGAAGAGGCTCCTTGCTTTGAATATCTTTTGGGAATCAAGTTCACCCCAGGCCTCAACTAGAATTCATATATACGATTCGCAGCTGAACATGCTAGAAAAATGGTCATCTCCTCATATCGTTCTAGAATGTACCTGAATCCATCTGTCATATTCTATCTCCACAAGTGTCAGATCAGGCGCAAAATTGCGTATTGATACCATATCTGGGCTGGTGCTGCCAAATCCTCTCTTTTCCAGCTTTGACAGAGTTCAAAAAACATCTACACGACCTTGAAGCTGACGAATTAATTTCCAGCCTGCAACTCCTTTCCCATCTCGTTATTCTGTTGATATTTCCATGGAAAATGTTCCGACTCATTACATTCTTTAGGTCAGACCTTTACAGCTAAGAAGCATTATGCTATGTACCCAATGTGGAATTATTCTTAATCCCTTCTTGTTCCATTGGTAAGGAGGAAGTTCAATTCGGACAGCTTTTTCTCAAGAACAACTTATTTGTGAAGCATCCCGAGAGGATGCTTCCTCGATCGTTACACATTTAACCGCTTCAAGTCTGGAGTCAATCTTTATTTATTCTACATATTCTCGTAATCTGAAACTCTTACATCCTTCTATTAGGTCAATACAATAACCTCTTCTCTGAGTGGCTCTTTGGCCTTGTATTGAGTGAACAATAGTATAAAAAATCACAAAAAAGAATTGGAGGAGATGTTCAATAGTATCCATACTGTGAGCCAACCAGTGGGAAACAATCTGCTTCTTGGGAAAATCAAGATCATGTTTAACAGGCTAAACACTAAATTATCACCCTGTTATTGTAGATGAAAAGACCACTGAGGAAGAAGACAGTCATGTTTACACAGGAGAGAAGATTCGAAAAGTTGCTGTCCTATTTCCCGAGGTCAAAACAAAGATTGTCTTTGGCTGGAAGTCTTTTGGAAACGTTTATAACGTCATGAGAAGTCCCAAATCAACAATCGAAAACAAGAGAAAGTTGTTTAATAAATGTTCTGCCCGTGATAACTTACAGTATTGAGGCATGTTTTTTCAACTCAACCACTGCAGAATCTTTTGAAGTGACCCAACGTAAAATGGAGCAAATCATACTTGGCATCACTTTACATGACAGGAAGAGCAACACTCGGATTCGACAGTAGACGGATATGAAGGACATGATCAAGGCTACCAAGAAAGGCAAACATAGATGGGCTGGTCACATCTCTCGTCTCAGAGACAACAGGTGGATTCTTTAATCGACAGAGTGGACACCAAGGCCGTGGAAAAGAACTAGATGTTGGCCAAAGGCAAGATGAAGCGAGATCTGATCCCAAAACCTCGGCCCAACGTGGTCTAATATGGTCAGAGATACAAAGTGGCGGAGGTTAACTAGGGAGATTTTCCTCTGATAAGAGTGAGAGGGAACTGGATTTGGATATCAAGAAGATGATTTAGAATCAATGCGACTAACTTAAAAAATCGACCCCCAGTGACATAGTTATGAATATGGGCAAAATATCCATCACACGTGAAGTTAGCAACCACGACAAAACAACAAAAACAAAAGGGGTTAAACGCCACTTGCCAGGGTTAAGGCGGGAATTATTTTTTACATTAACAATATATATATATATATATATATATATATATATATATATATATATATGCTTATCATAACCCTCTTTTCAATTTCCCTTATTTTGTTGTAATTTTTTCTTCTTTCTTTCTCTCTTTCTCTTTCTCTCTTTTTTTGGGTTTAGTAATTTCAAGAGACAATAAAGAAAGCAGAAAAAATGGCATCTATCGTTGTAAACCCATGTTAGCTGGTAAGGGAGGGCAAGGTACTTTCAAACAGACTTGACAGCACTATCCATTAGAAATCAGACCATATTTAAGTTTGAAATACTTTTGTTTTGATATCTTCTTTTATGTACCGTGTCCTTTCGGACGTGGGCGATCATGGCTCTCCACAACTTTCTACCCCCTGTAGCCCTTAGCAACGTTTGTCTGTTTTCTAAGCCTCCTGCACACAGTTCCGTTTACACAAACCCGTTAGACCCAATACCTTCCCCTGTTCCTTTAGGTATGCCCCGTGAGTGTCAAATTCTCCAAACCCCTCCCTTATTATGTATCCAAGAAATTACAACTGCCTCTTTCTGACTCTGTCCATTTTGTTTCCATTTTACTTAAGACTTTTTCGTTGCTTACACGCTCTGTCTGTAGTAGTCTCAGCATCCTTCTGTAGAACCACATTTCTGTTGCCTCCAGTTTTCTCTTGATCTCCATACATGGAATACTGTTGCCATATATGGTCTGGTGCCCCCTCCCATATTCATCTCGAGGTTCTCGACAAAATCCAAAGACGGATATGCAATGTGATCAGTCCTCTATTCCAGTCACTTTCTCACCGATGTAATGTGGCTTCCCTCTGGCATCTGCTTTGAAGAACTATTTTCACAGGTGCCCCATTTGCATGAATTTAAGCGTGCTACTAGGTTAGCATCTCGGTTCCCCTTCTTTTACTGTCGAAACAGTTAAATGTAACCACCGCTTCTACTCCAACAGTTTCTTCTCTCGCACTTCCTGACAGCGGAACTCCCTTCCTCTTACTTGCTTCTTTGATAACTATAATCTTCAAAAGTTTAAATATAATGTCAAGCGACATCTTATGTTGCCTTGATCTTCATTCCCATGTTTCTTTTTCTCCTTCCTCTGTTATGTCTAAATAGTTTGTACGCAATTTTATTTTTGGAGATAATAATGGTTTAGCGATACAATTCTTACTAATTAACCTATAGCTGGGGTGAGAACAGCTAGATTCACCCCTTTCCCCAAGGGTATTTGCGCGTAGGTGAATATAACGGCGCTAATTAGAATAGGGAAATCGACTCCCTGATTAACAATTCAGAGCCATTATCCATTACACCACCAGCAAATCCACCCAAG